ACACTGCTCGTGGACTGGCACTTGTTCTCGTAAGATAATTACGAAAAGTCAATCTTCGTGCGAGAAGCCGTAGGAATAGTCGTCGTCGTTTTTGTCTCGTCGTCTTTTTACAATATGGGTGGTTCTCTAAACTAGTGTCCCCTTTTGGGCTTTTTGGGTCCCCCAGTCTAATTTGGCTCCCTAGAAAGCGGACCCTAAGAAGGGAAGAGAACTACTGTTGATGATAGAAATCCTGCAATACCTTAAGGACCTAAACTATGGGAGTTATGGTATATTCCTTATTATGGGTGATGCAGGATTTATACCATCAACCGTATGAATATGTGAGTCTTCAAGTCTCCGCGTCCAAGGTGGTGAGGGTACTCAGATCTGGGGCTGCGCTCCGACTCGATCCGGAGGCAGCTTGTAAAATCTACAGACTGGCATACGTCAGAATAACCAAATCAGCTGCCTCTTTCTGTCTCTCTATCCATCTATCTACTTATGTATCTACCTACCTACCTACCTACCTACCTACCAATCTGTCTGTCTGTCTGTCTGTCTGTCTAGAAATCTAACTACCTACCTACCTACCTACCTACCTACCTACCTACCTACCTATTTATCGATCGATCTATCGATCTATCTATCTATCTCTCTCTCTCTCTCTATCTTTCTTTCTATCCGTCCATCCACTGTGCACCTGCATGTCAGGTTATATCCTGCTTTGCTGCAGCACATTATGGGCTCCGCTGTTCAAGGGAACTGTTGTTCAAAATCTTCGGCCCTAAGATGGGCACCTTAAGGATGAGAGCTGGGTGCTAGGGTGTATCATAGCAGAAGCGTGATAAGTTATAAAGACTAATAAAGCATGCTGGAATGAGGTTTTGCAGTATATTGCCACATAAGATACAAGCATGGTAAGGAGCCCTAACGAATAGTTGCGGCTATTATTCAGGCTGCTGCCAGGTATCCGATCGCCTTACTTGGGTCACACGATGGGGTAGTGTGTTTAGGGGTAAGGGACCCTAAAGCCCTAAGCCTTAAAATCGTATTGACGAGGAAGTCACATGCACAGGTCTTTGGCTCACATATTCTCTAATGGATGGCAAGAAGCTTCCGAACCTCGGCACTAGGGCTACTGGCGCACTGCTTGGCCCCGACACCCCGAAACCCGGTGCAACCTCTTCTGGCTGTAGCTGTGGTTCTGGCGCTGTGGCAACAGTAAATACGTCGTACAGTGATTACTGAGCTACTCTGATGACGCGGCTGCGCCTGATGATAATGAAGCTCTCGTCTACAGATGGTGCTAGTTAGTTACCGTTGTTGCTGTCACCGTCATCGTGTTCGTGCTGTTCTGGTGGAAACAATCGCTGTAGTGTTTTGCTGCAATAGTAGTGGTACTGACAGAGCCGGTAGAAGGGCGCAGCGGTAAGAGTGAGTCTCACAAGAGTAGAACTAACAGCAGCAGGCTGCTTGTTGTTCGGACGGTTGATCCGGTTGTGAAGAAGCCTCTCAAAGAGAGACATCCTGCCCTTTGAACCCTGAACTCTGGCCTTGTGTACTTACTGTGCGCAAATTCCAGTCTCGTGAGCGTGTGCTTTTCTGCACGAGATCGTGGCTGATCGGTCAAGCGGGTTTAGCACTGTGATACGACAATTAAGCGAATAGGATATGCTAGACCGTGATGTGAACTGTTATGAGAGTGCCGGAACATGGTGCAACAAATTTTGAGACGCGGCATGCTACTACCGACTGCACTAAAGTTTAGCATGGTTCATTGTAGCACACAGCCAGTATAACATGCTGTCTCTGATATGCTCTAGCATATTGCAAAATACTATATATACTCTAATACACTATCCTGTGCTACGATGTCTTCAGCCTTTTGGGTGGAAGGCATGGCTTCCGCACATGCTCACAGCGCTGCAGCGGCACATGCCCAACATGCGAGAAGGCAACGGAAGCTGCCATCTACTGACGTAAGGCTTTCAGGTCTGTTGCTGCTACATGGAGCGTCGCTGATGGGGTTGTTTGACTTTGGAGCTTTGTGTCAGGGTGTCCAACATCTCGAAACTGTTCAGCATCTAGGGTGGTAGCAGGCTGATGATTACACGACATAATGTACAACACATGCCAGTGCAATGTGTTACGTATTGTGACTTGGGCTGTGGCCTCAGCTTCAACACGGCGTTCTCCGACTACTCACCTTGCTAAGTGGCCTGGGTGCCATTCATGCTGTTGGAAGGGTTTAGGGTTTAGGGTGTCGGACCGTTCTGGAGCTGTCTGGCACGACCCGTCATGGCAGAAATATGTCTTTCGAGCAGGTGTGGCGGAGAGGGTCGTGTGGTTTCTGATTCTACAGCGGTCCACGTGGTGGCGTCACACATCATTCCAGCAAGCTGGTCACGTCCTGGCTGCCGGGAGCTGGGGAGTACCGTTTGGTTGCGAGACGAGTCGGTTTAGAGGTGAGTCTGAGCAGTCATTTGGGCTCAAGAAGTTAACAGAGGGAAGGCTCCGGTCCACCAGAGCCACCATGGATCCAGGCCAATTCGTGTCACCTTCGGTGTCGCTCCTCTCTGGAGAGACTGTGGTTTTAGACGATCTGCCAGCGGGAACTCGCATTTCTGATGTGAAGCAGCACCTGCGGCGGCGCTGGACACACCTGAAGGACACCAGCTAGATTAGCCTTGTTTTTGCCTGCGCCTGTAGCGAAACTATCCGAGGGGCATGAGCGGTTTTAAGCGGGGAGAAGTCTGCACAAGTGTCGGATGCTGCAGACCGTCAGTGTTCATTGCCTTCGCGTAGAGGCATAATTCTGTCAATGAACTAGGCGGCCTACCCTAAACCCTACACCCTGAACCCTAAACCCTAAACCCTTAACCGTCAATGAACTAGGCCGCCTACAGCTCACGCACGGTGCCTTGTTACCCTAAACCTGAAACCTGCTGGCAGGAGAAAGCGATTCAACTCTCCGATGGGGTGCGGAGACTCATTAGCAGGTGAAGAGCAACGGCTCTTTGCGGAAGCCTTCGTTTGAGTCGTACTTGCGTGGCATATGAAACTTTCGGCCAAATAGGAGAGCAACACTAGGGCATTCGTAACTTCTGAAACCGCCAGATGCTTGGCGTGTAGGAAATCACAGAGACCCAAAACCATAAACCCTAAACCCTGAACCCTAAACCCTAAACCCTAAACCCAAAACCATAAACCCTAAACCCTGAACCCTAAACCCTTAACCCAAAACCATAAACCCTAAACCCTGAACCCTAAACCCAACCCCTGAACCTGAGGATGCTGCGCGACACGGAGATCCTTCAGGATGTCGGCTCGAAGCTGACAGTCGTGATAGGCCATCTCTGCGAGCGCTATTGAAGGTTTCAGGGTTCAGGGTCTAGGGTTTGAGGCAGCTCAAGGTTTTAGGGTTCTAAAGTTAGGGGTTAGGGCGAAAGGCGGACACTTGAAAATTGTGCATCAGATTTAATAGTGCTTGGGACTCGAGTGGTCTTTTGGCGACTAATCGTCGGATAAATGTCCCCCAAACCCCAAACCCTAAACCCACTATCAATAGGGCATCTCTGTGAGAGCTCCATTCTTGAGGCCCCCGTTCAAAGCCGAATTCATCCCCCAGGGAGGGGTTGCAAAGCAGTGCTCTGAGAAATTGGATCTTGGATCCGGGCCCGAATCAAAATGAGCCGGAACTCCCCACAGCACTGTTCAAATTTGCAAATTTGTAATTCCCCCTGTCTGATATTCTTTTTAAGCCCCCTATATTGTGCATTCTACTCCTTATAAACCCTGAAACACCTAAACCCACTTTAGATAGGGCCTTGGAATCTCACACTTATATTGTCGTCGCGAGGTGAGGCCTCCACGTGCAGCGTGGAGGAGTAGCAAATAGTTGCGCGCCTGCTTTCTTCGGGGAATAGGCTTTGGGGGTTTCGGGTTTGGGCTTTGGGGGTTTCGGGTTTAAACTTTGGGGGTTTAGGCTTTGGGGGTTTAGGGTTTCGGGTTTCTTCGGTCGTCATGGGGCCTTGGGAGGAGTGGCCAGCTTGTGCCCTTCTGAGCTCCTTTGGCAATGAACCGGGAAAATCGGATGCGCGGTGATGGCATCGTTGGCCAGCTTGTAATAAGATCAGCCGTTGCACGACCGCTTGGATGTACGGCCAGTTGAGGACGGCACATGTGCAGCATGTAATTGTGCATGTGTTTCTTGCTGTCTTTTAGTTTGCAGTACTAATACCTATGTCTTACTGTTGCTCTCGCTACTGCTGCTCCTATTACGAGCACCACCACCACCACTACCGCCACCTCTACCACTAGGGAGGCAGATTAAGATTCGTCTTCGAGCCATTTGCGCCTGCACAGCGAAAGTTTCAGAGAATGCGGGACTCGAGTATAGACACCACAACTTGGCCTTAAACAATAGGAAAAACAAAGTTAATGATTCTACTACGAATTAGCAACACGACCCTATTGCAGGATCCCTGTTTCGACCAAGCCTCCACCTGGTTGGCAGGAGGCCATGCAGGCCATCAACGCGACCTGCAGGGAGATGGGGAAGAGCTACAGCTGCAAGGCCGAGCCATGCAGTCTCTCTTACGGTGCGGGAAGATTTAGGGCTTTGGATTTATAAGGCTTAGAGAGAGAGACAGAGAGAGAGAAAGAGAGAGAGAGAGAGAGGGAGAGACAGAGAGAGGGTCCCCATGCCCGGGAGAGAGAGAGAGAGAGAGAGAGAGAGACAGAGAGAGGGACGGAGAGAGAAGCAATGAGGGCAAGAGAGGATGGGACAGACAAACGGAGAGAGCGCAAGCCTAGTAGGAGAGGGTGCGACGGAAGCAGGATCGCTTCAAAGCAGAGGTGGTGTGAGCCAGAATCCTGAATGGGACAAGATGCACGGTGTTCGGAAAAATTGCAAAACAACATCCATGTCCATGAGAGCGAAAATGAGATTACGCTTGCCGCAGCTGTTAGCTGGAGCCGACCTGCCGGACCGAAGGGATCCATCAAAGAGGTCTTTGATGGAAGCGTCCTTGCCGGGGCGCCCCCGCCTCAAGCTGAAGCCGCCGTCACTGCAGACCTTGGCTAGGAGGCAGCGCGAGCTCGAAGAGTCTGACAGGGTGCGATTACTGCCCGCCCAGCTGCGGCAGAGCTGGTCTGTGACGAACTCGGGTACTTACGGCGTGATTTTCACGGATGGTAGTCATGCCTTGAAGGTGTCCATTGAGGGCATGGATCCCTCGAGGGACCAGTCATGCGAGAGGCAGGTCACTGAGGCGGTAGTGTACAGCTTGGCTCCCCGGATACTCTCCGAATTGGGCACACAGGTCCCCCGAAAGGCGCAGCTGCTGGAACGCTTGGGAGCGGGTTCCCTTCGAGGTGCAGACGACTGCTGGCGATCCCACCTTGTTCTGGACTTGCTGCAGCCGGATGTCCAGTTGCCAGGAGAGAATCTAGGTAAGCTACTGGGACGTTTTCATATTGTATTCCTCTTTTCTTGTTTCAAGTGGGTCCTACACTTTCAAGGGCCAACCTAGGAAGCTGCTTCTCTCGGTGCAGCTGGGCCAAACCGACCTGGGAGTTAGCGCTGGCTCTTTCATCGAAGGTCCCGCGGCACTCGTCGGTGGGCAGAACAAGTCACAAGGTTGGAGGAATATGAACGGTGCTGTTTTTGCAAAGACTGTGGGTCGCGAGGTTGCGGAGGAAGCCTTGCATGATGCTGGCTTCCTGCACGGATACTTGGAGACTTTCGGTATATTCCTGCATGACTCCGAGATGATATGGGGATCGGTCGGCAACGGGCGTGCCTGCCTTTATGTGGTTGATTTCGACAAAGCCATCCTTGACTGCAATCCCAACGACATCGAGAGGCTGCGGTTCAGCGACCCTGTCTTCCCGCGTCCTGCACAAAGAACCGAGATGGCAGATTACTGGGGTGCCGTTTTTTGGCGCGGTTGGCGTGCCGGGCAGCGTGCTGCCCAATCTGTCGCAGAGAGGACTCGGACGCCCTGTGGGCCGCAAGGAGACTCCCATCGTTTCAGACAGTATTTTCTCGCGTCTGTGCGCCAGAACTGTCGCTCGGAACATCTCGGCGAGTCTACTGCACCGACTGCAGTCGTAGGATTAGGGGGGTGTGATCTTGCTCTCTCCAAAAGCCCGGCCAAAAAATCTACGCACGAATCGGAACTATGCACCCGGCAAACGACGATAGTTGCACAACTGCGCAAGCGTGACTCAAGATCTTTGTTGCAGCTTCTCGTGAGAGGGACGTGTTTAATGCCTTCCCCCTAATTTTAAATGGAAGCGGGGACCTCCCGCAACAAAAACTCGGAAAGTGTTTCCATTTTATAGGGGTATTCTTATATCTATACTGCCGCTTTTGAGGGGTCGTGCTCTTGCTCCTACTCTGGCTCCTGCTCCCGCGCTGGCTTTTGCTCCTACTTCTGCTGCGTCTCTCGCACCTGCTCATGCCCTTGCTGTTGCTCCCGCTTTTTCTCCTGCTCTTGCTCTTACTCCCACTCTTGCTCTAAGGGTATTTTGAACCTCGAAACCCTCCCCCCTATTTCAGTATAACCTTTCAAGGGCAGGGATGATTTCTGGAAGATTCGCCCCAATTTGTTTTTATTATAGGCGGGAGTTTAACAAAAGGGGAAGCGATTACTTTGGTATCCACGACATGGGGTTTGTATGTCCCTGTTCGCCGAAAGCACCAACCCATACAGATTGTAGTGCAACAGCGAACAACACCGCCAATAACACAGATATTCATCATGAAATATGTAATGTAGTAGTCCTGATGTCCCGGAATCCTTATTATTGGTTTGCAGCCCTAAACCCGAAACCCTAAACCCTAAACAGACAGGTCGTGTCCTGGGATGATGTCTGTCGCAGTCACGGACCTGCAGATGCTCTGAGCGCCGGTGGGCCCAACATCACGGACTCCAGGCTTGCAGGGTCTTGCTACCCATAGGCCCCTAAGTAGTTCCCTTTTATGGTTTATATTTAGAATCCTATATGTAATCCCAAAAAGGAACTACTTAATTCGGGAGTCTTGGCTAACTGTGGGCTGCCGAGCCTATACCTGCCTTAGCCTACCAAAGCCTGGTTGTTTTTTGTAGGTTCCCTGTAATAGACTCGATAGTATTGTTGGCAATAAGAACCTACAACAAAGTCGGTTATGGCAGCTGAAAAAAAGGTATATAGTTAAACGGTTGCTAACTTTCGTGTATAATCGATCTTTGGGTCCAAGCCAACAAACCTTTGTTGATTTCATATGTCAAACAGGTATACCTATAGTAGCGTGCTCCTCAGCAGCGTGCGTTTGGATTGTGTTGGGCTTCCTTCTTCCCCTGTAGCAAAGACGATTCAATGAAGTGTTCTGTACTCGGTTTACAAGTACATACAAGGCATGTACCTGTGTAAGACAGCATAACGTGCGTGTGTGTGTGTGTATGTATGTATGTATGTATGTATGTATGTATAGATATATATATTAATATAATTATACACGTGTTTGTTTGAGTTTGCCTGTCTTGTATACCCGCACTTACCTACATGCATACATGCATACCTGCATGCATCTGCACTTACAGATATATACATACGCACGTGCTGGCAGACATCTATGAGCTATGTCTCCCTCTGTCTCTGCCTTTGTATCATGCACACGGACATGTCTACAGGAAACCTGTGCTTGGGCCGCCCACGACACGCTGGGTGAATTCAAGAGAGCCCCAAACCCTCAGACCCGAACATGTCGTTGAATACCCTAAAACCCTAAAAGCCCTAAGTCCGTAGGGCGTCGAAATCCTAAAGCCCCAGCTGCGACAGGCTCAAGGCCCGCAGTGGTCAAGCTTTGTGCCTGGGACATCCTGACGTCTGTCTTTGGGACTTGGGGCTCAGGGTTCAGGGTTAAGGGTTTAGGGGTTTAGGGGTTTAGGGTTTAAGGGGTTTAGGGTTCAGGATTAAGGG